TGAATACATAGATATGTGTTTATATGCAAACATACGTCCATATGTGTGTGCATATATATATACATATATATATATATATATATATATATATATATATATATATTATATATATATTATATATATATAATATATATATAATATATATATATGCGTGTGCGTGTATATATGTATATATACATATATTTTCATCACAGCAAGTATCAATTATAACTGCATTTTTCTTGAAATTTGAAAATGCTCAATGCTTTAAAAATCTGTGTATGGAAGCTACATCAAATAAAAATTTCAGATTCGCTAATACCGTTCTAAATGGTTTTCGTAGCTGCACCATCTAGCAACGGCTAATCAAACTAATGGAGTGACTTTCAATAAACAAAAAGCATGCTACGTTATACATTTCATTACAGTATATTAGCTGAACGCAAAACTGCAGTAGCGCTACAATGGATGTGTAAATATTTTCACTGTACTTGTGTGTGTGTGTGTGTGTGTGTGTGTGTGTGTGTGTGTGTGTGTGTGTGTGTGTGTGTGTGTGTGTGTGCAATATATATAGAAATTCAGTATTTGGTGATGGGTAGCTAAACAGCATGGTTATTTTTTTATCAATTATCCTGAATGCTTTTCTAAATTTTAGCTAAAATCTGACCCTAATTTTCGCAATCATTATTCCGCAAGTTGTGGCGTTCCTCGGTGAAATTCGATCAGCTGAGCGAGAAAATACATGTTTGCTTGTTTCAACTCGGGCTTCTGCTAGCTGAGTGGTTCCAAGGAGGATGAAAAACAACTATTAAAATTTACTCCCAATGCTGATAAAATAGGAAATTAATCTCGCTATCTACTTTTATCTGACACGTATGCTATTTATATTTCCCTTGTATTTGAAAGGGCATGTCAAAGCTTTGATACATAACCTCAATATGTTAACGATGAAAATATCTCGGTGTATGTAAAGTCATCTAAACGCTTGTTTGTTCACCCGTAACTTGAGTAGTTTGAAGAAAGAGGAACCATTTAGAAAAAACAAAACAAAACACGAAATCATATATATGATACTGTTTATGATAATGAATCTTCATAAATTCCCGAATATTCTTTTCGCGGCAAATGCTGATGTATGCCAAACAGGAAAGAAAAATATGTCCGATGGTATATGACGTCATAATGACATATGGGAAATCCGAGATGAAAACGAGGCTGCCAAGCTGACACCTTTTTTTCAAGATGGACGCAAGGCAATGTAAAATTACAAAAGAGGCCACACCATTGGGACGGAGGAAAGTAATTTCTTTCCCAGTGAAATAACCTTGAGAGCAGAGAGCACCCTGAACGACCGCCCTCGTTCCGGAT